ACAGGAAGGTGTGAACGCACTGTTGTTAAAAGCAAGGGCTTGGATAGAATATGGCTTTGATTGTGCTATTCTACAGAAGATATACTAAGAGTTGCGAACGAGTCCACTAACCCTACTTTAAGCGTGCGTGCTGTTCTAGTTGGCCCTGCCTGGCTGGAGCAGAACGAAACTTGTTAACAACATACACACCTGACATTGAAACAAAACAAATTTGACAATCGTAAGATTACCGAAGCTCGTGCTTAGAATACTCATCAAGTTTATTGACGGAATGCGGTGGATTTATTCTATTGTATGTATTCCGTTGACGTGTGTGGGTCTTTCGAATGCTTGCTTTCGTCCATTACCGATGGCTCCCATAAATTCCGTTACTAAGTAATTAGGTAATCATAGCACACCACAGATCTGATCGTTTTCTGTTTGCCTACACTTGCTCACCGATCGTTGACGAAATCAACGAAGAGTACCATAATAACATAACACTTTTTACCGCATGGTTTCACCGCCTTAAGCCAAGTCGACATCTGTATCAATGGGTATTGACCAGCACATGGAACTGAACATCAACAGTAGTCCCGTATATGTCAACTAGATCTACAGTTTACGACGGTAAAAGGGCTTAAACAAGTTTCTCTATCTTTACCTATATCACCTTTTTGAGTCAATGTAGCTTACTTTTACCTCAGCTCGATTTCAGGAAACAATTGAGTTGATTTACTTAGTTCTTCTGTCGACTGTGAGAGAACAGCTAGTGGAGAAAAGCCCTCGCCGGCTCTTTTAAAGTGTGATAATGCGACTTTCGAGTAAAACAGGCTGCTTTAAGTGTTGTAGGTAGATCGGTAGGTATCAACGTCCTATACCATCTTTCTTCGTTCAGATATAGGACAAGTACGCTTTGCTCATAGCATGCTTCCACCAATAGAGTAGCGCTGTTCACTGGTTATCGGTAAATTCATGGCAAACGTCTTTGCTTGCACGAGTCCCTATACTTACATGATTTGCTCTGCAAACGATACACCGTTATAGAGGCTTTTGCGGGAATCGAACATTATGATAATTTTCACTCAAGCACTTAAGGCGCAGAGCACGCATAACTCTACTCTTTTTTTTTGTAAAATAGAGTAACACACATGGCATGGTAACAAAAAAAACAACCTCTCTATGGAAAAGGCCCTCTACATAAGTGAGACATGTAGAGAATATATTTAAGACCCTCGTCGTAATCAATCGTTTATGCATTTCATAGCGAGCAGCACGCACACATCACAACCCAGTACAACTAATACCTCCGTCAGTTCATCCTGCTTGTTCTTAGCGTAATGGCAATCGAAATGTTTGTCCGAAGCTCCAAGGGATACATCAGCTTCAGTAAGATTCAAGCCAAAATAGAGGCTTCGATTGTGATGCGAAGCCACTTACGCTGGTCCTCCAGCGCCTGGTCCAATGGACAACTATAGGTTATATCTGACGTCAGGCATAGTCGCAGCACTTACCAACGCCTTACCCAGCTCTGCCTGGTCCCCTCTGAATGATTTTGTCCCCTCGGGAAATAAGAATGGAATCTAGGATTGCGATTCGTTCGTACCCGGTTTGCTCTTTGGGAACGACCAAGTGGCCCGAGAAAGCCGAGAAACACGGCAGATCCGAACGGGACCGAAATCTGAAGGTGGACTCAATAAGAAATGCTGTATTAGGCTGTGGGTACGCTGGTGGGCGCGAAGGCTTTGCGTAAGTAAGGCGTAGTCGAAAGACGCTGACAGCCGCCTCCTTGAAGGGGGATTGCGTGTGTGAGGCATCGGAGGAAGGCAGAGAGGCAAACATAGGGAACTGTGCAGGGATTTGCACTGTTTCTCCTAAACGACAGCATCGACGTCAGCCAATAGAGTTGCTACTGGCGTTCGGCCGCTACTGTCTGCGAAACTGCGACGTTTCCTCTGAACGGTATGGGACGGATTTCTTCTTTTTTTTTTTTCGCCGAAAGCTCAAAGTCGTTGGGATCAAAGTGACGTGACGATCTTCGTTTTTCTTTTCTTCTCTTCCCATTTTTTCTCAATGTTTGAGAGCGTACGGGTGTACGCGTGAGTACAGTCGTGTCCACTCGGATCGAGTCAGCATGAGTGCTCGCGAGCTCCCGTGTGTAAAGCTGTGTGCGTATATGTATGTAAGATAAGGAAAGAAAGAAGGCAAACGGTATAAGGGAACACCATGTACACATGAAAGCTATTTATGCCCGTATATACAAGATTAGATATTTGGTAAGAAGGATAGAGTCATACGGGGCTGCAATCGTCGGCAGCAGGAGCAATCCTATTCGCAAGCTGAAGCTGCGGTATCGACATCGAGAGCACTACTAGACCATTGGCTATACGATGCCTACTGTTATAGTATATAGTACATCAACCAAGGGTGGGGCTGTTGGGTTGGAAAAAGAACAATTTTAAATTTAATTATATAAACACGATCATGACCCATTGATAACATTTGACGCAAGAGTAGTACAGCAATAAAAAAGGTTAGGTAACATACAGAACCGTTTGGAAAAAAAATTAAAGAACGGACGGAAATTAAAACTTGAAATATTAAACTAACATACAAAGGACCATGTCGAACGTTATTCAGAATCTGCCATAGATACAGACTATTAAAAGTGTTTTTTAGTAGAAACACCAACCAAAAACCTGCTCCTTTTATTTTCATGGCAAAAAAAGTGCGTCCCTCTTATGGTCTCCACATTTTGTTTAATATTGTCAGTACGCTTCATATCGTCTCCATGCGGTAAGTTCGATGTCTTCGCACGGACCTCTCTTGGGGCCCAGATGTACACAAAGGGATTAAGTTATGAAAATCAGATGAATGCGCCAATCAATGAATTATTTAGACCTGACAGATATAAAGGTGCAAACATAGACCCACTAGAAAATAGAAGGTTGGTCAGAGAATGCAGATATGCCACGTAAAGGAGGTATACAAAAAGTTAGCGATGAGATACTAACCAGGTAGAAATCCTGGCAATAAAGAAGTAGAAGAATAATTCAGAGCAATAACATCTGCATATGGGGTTCTGTATAACTTTGAAGAAAAGTAAGCTATAATCACTATGGTCACGAAGGTGCTTCCGGCGGATTTCAAAGATTGAGCTCGGCAGGAGGTTTTGGTAATATATTCATTGATTTTTTTTTGTGAAGACTTATTATGCAAGCAGCCGCTTTTAGCAAGACAAAGCGATTCTTTTATTGCAGTCTTCTTATAGCTGGAATGGTGAAATTTTTATATTAGCGTTATGTGCCTAAAAAATACAAATGTCAATAGCTTAGTGCCTGATGTTAGTAAATACACATCTCCATGGAATTGGAAATGGAGCTGAAAACTAGTGATCTAGATAGGAATATAGAAACACACAAAAAGTTTGACAAGTAATCCTCCTCCATCACATCTAACCAGCCCTCTCTTTGTCACTAAGCGCCTACAACTTAGGACATAATAAATAAAAAAAAATACAATTTTCGCGTTTCTGTTATTATTTATCGAAAATACCCAGCTACAAATATTCAACTAATTCATTTTCAATATTATATTTTTTATATTTGATGATATCTCCGATACACCACAATGTGCCACTTCTGAGAAGCTTTAAGATTCTTCGCATGTGGTATCCAGTATGTATCTCAAATGTTCGATGCAAAGTTCGCTTTGATCCGATATTTCACATCATTGGTATCTGAGGCCCATAATATGAAAAGGTGTTTTAGTAATTGACCTATAAATACAACCAAAATGTATATCAACACAACGTGGGTAAAAATCGCTAAGGTTGTACATGAAGGTTCCTCCGGCAATGAATGACGCAAAGAGACAAGCGAAATTTATTTATGGAAGTATGTTGAAGCTGTACTCCAGGATGAAGCAAATGTTTATATCCTGAGATTGGAACTCATGCACGGTTTTTTTTTTCAAAGAGATTTCAGGCCGAAACCGATAGAGAACAAAGTTTTGTTAGGTCATGAGCTATGATTTAATGATTCTTGGTTTGATTGAATCAAACAATATATATAAGAATAGGTGGCTTTTGCTACACGTTGATTATGCGACCGGAGGCGGCCGTAAAGGTTCAAAGAAAGCTAGGGAGATTGATTAGTTTGGCTCAGACTGAAAAGGCAGCGGTCATCATCACGACAGAGGAATCACTGTTTCAATGTGCGTGACATTGGAAAAGGCTGAAAACCTTTGGAGGGCGACAGGGTTGACCAAATTAGGCAGGCCGAAAGGAATTATGACACGAAGAATCGCAAGCAAGGCCGTTCCAGTCACGATAGCAAGACGTAGCGATGATGAAAGGAAAAGAGTATTAGACACATTCGTCGGTGGCTGCAACCAATAGTGACTCGTTAATAATTCTTGTTTCTTAGTGCTGCATTAAGCCTCGAATCCTGAGCATCCAACATCCAATCAGTGACCACTAGGCGTATTTAAGCTCATGATTTTGTGGATCAGTATATAATTAGTTCGACAAGATTCGCCCGCTTTTTTGTTTCCCTAATTAGATGTATCGACACTCCTAATTAAGGAGGACATTTCCAATAATTATTATTATATTCACGATATAATTTATAAAATACCGTGATGTAAGTATAACCATCTCAAAACACCAATAATAATAATAAAGATAGTGATTTCCCTGAGAAGCTGCTTAGATGTACGTTTTTAAGTTTATGCAACGCCTCTACAACCGATGCCATTCATCTTTCGGCGGACGCATCGGACCCCGGTTGTTTTCCAGCCGCTGTAAAAACTGATCTTCCTCTCGTGTGGAGGGATGTACACACGCAGTATATCAATAACAAGTGATACGGTTCGTTCCTACTGATCTCATCTTTGAAGAAAAGGTGCTCTTATTACACTTGCAGAAATCAGCAGAGCATATGTACACGACCCAGAACAATGCCAACATATAAGCTTAGCTTACAGCCCAACTAACTTTTATTTATATCGGAAACAGCGAGGTGAAGCTCCCTTTGTAACTAACAATGCACCGTTTCGGGTTGCTGGATATCAGTGTGTAGCTCTACAATGGATATATTGAAGAATGCTTGCTGACGATGTAATAATTACACTACAAACGCTATGTTGCACCATGATGTCTTCTTTGTATTCGTTTCCATAAAAGTGCAGCTTGGTAGCCAGTACTAGAACGGACTTCTAGGTAAGACCTTTCATAAGTTATTGCAAACGATATCCCTTTGTTATGCTGCTGAAGAGAGTTGCAGCTGTTACCAAGTGCCAATCGTGGCTCTGGATATATGTCCTGGAGAAACCCGAGTCTCGGAACTACCTCTGAGTCCCTTTGCCTGTTGCTGCGTAATACTCAACGGTCATAACGTGAACGGCTACCAATCCATCTGGTTCCCAATTGCCTCATCTTATTTAACCCACATAACGTTGCTGTGGTGGTAAGTTCGGTTGACTTTAATTAGCGTGCCGGCTGGTTAAGGATACCAGCAAGATTGTACCTACAACAAAAACAAGTGCAAAATCTTACTGAGCTGTATTATATATCTAACGGATTTATAAACAAACGCACATGTTTAGTATGAGTATAATTTATGTGTTTTCAGGATATATATATATATATATATATATATATATACCCCGTTTAATGGTAGCATCTCTCTTAATCGAGATTCCCTGAAATATGCATTCCCGTGATAGCTCAGTGGCCTGTTAATCTTAAAGAGACGTTAGAGTCTAGCTTCAGACCCGGGCATAGACACACTGTTTTGTGATAGAACTCAGACGTACGATAAAATGATTAACGGCGGTACCAGATACAAAACTCTACATAGAGGCTCTAAGATGTGCTAGAATGATTGAAGCAATAATACATTACAATACATCACGAAAAACAAATTAAACCCATAAGTAGGAAACTATTTTAACTGATTAAAAAAAATTACTTTCTTCTTGTAATGTACATAAACGTAAAAAATTATGTATATATATATGGATATATGGCGTTGCTTTTAAATTCGGAAGTTTCCATATGAATTCTATATCTAAACATAAACAATTATTTCAACAAATATCGTTCTACGTACTAGAGATATAATGCCTGACGGTCATGTATATTTCATGCAACGACAATTCACCGCAGTCACAGCTTAAACGAAACCACTCATTCTTTTTTAACTTACAGACAACTTCTTAATAGTATCCGTACGTCAAACGATATTAGTAGACGTGAGCTCGCTAACATGTTACCCAAATACGTTGCATCCATCACTTTTGGGCCACTAACAGGCCAAAGGCTCTAAAAAATGAAGCCAAAAGGTCCATAAAGTGCGGAAAAAAGCAAAGAATTCCAAAAAAAATTAACCGTTGGGTATTGGTAATTAACAATATTTTTCCAAGTTGGGCGTTAATTTCTGTATGAAATATCCAAGTCTATTAAAAATTGATTTTTAAGCCATTATGATGAGTTTTCAAGCTGTTTAAATCTATTTCAACCAAATCTTGTTGAAGATCTTTTGGCTTGCCTCATGGAAGAATTCGGCGGATTTTTTAGAACCTAAAAATATAGAAAAAAAATCTGGTTTATGTGAAAAAAAATATTTAAGTAATTGGATAACGACGATATGTTTTCTTCCAGAAAAAAAAAACTAGGTTCTCTCTGATACTAAAAAGTATCGGTGACTATATAAAGTGTTGCGTCTGAATCCAGTTGTTCCCTACCAAGCTGTTTGTCACGATAGGCGCGTGTGCATGAACGATTACTAGTAGCGGTAGTGGCTTGCTGCGAGATACATACCACCTAACATGCCGTGCGCCCGATCAGTAGGTCCGGTACATGTATGTGTGTATATATATCGCATAACTCGCAATTCCACCCGATTTCGTGTTCATATATAACCATTCAGTAACAATCTAGTATAAGGAAGCGCTCATTGTGCAAACGTTTTCTTCGATCGTAGCGAACTGTTGAGCAAACGTCTGTTTTTTTCCAGTGCTAAGTCCTTCCAGGTGAATAAGCCTGTCTTTCTGTCTGTCGCGTCTTTGGAACCGCCAGTTTTAGTGGAATATGTGCGGTCAACCGTTAGCGACCTTTCAGATGTTGCTCTTGCCAAGTAAATGAACACTCTTCCGACCTAACCTGGTATGAGGTAGAAAAAATGCGTCGGTTCATTCTGGTAAGACACTAGAGTCGATCATGCAAAAGAGAAAAGTGAGTTTGATTTTCTTTGATCTTGTTCCGAGTTCTTCGCTTACTATCGGCTCGTGTCTATTCTGTGTGTGATAGGTCCCCTTGAGATTCGTAGGCACTCGGGGGCAGATGATCGGTAGCTTAGCCCTCCTTTTAGTTGTTTCTTCGTTTTCTTTAAGAAGGCCTCGACTGTTGGCGTTCACGTTTAGCGGCGGAGGCCTGACGCATGCTAGCGGTCACGCGCGCTGTTTGTCCAGGAAGCACAAGTTCCTTCCACAGAGGTGCTTATACAGACGCGCTCAAATAGAACGTGCGTTGAATATCATGTTGATGATAGCTGTAACATATATCCACGGGCCTACGGCCTGCTAACTATATTCACTACCTGAACGGAAAATAGCTTCTTCGTAATAATAATTATCGTGATTATATGTCATACTGTTAAACACTTCCAGGCTGTACATTTTTATCTTAGAACATTGTAATATGATAAAAATTAAGGTATTTACTACTCATTTAATCCTACATGTTAAAATAGCTTGTCGTAGTGTTTTCTTTCACAACACGCATATGTTAGGGATAAAGATACTGAAAAGGCATGAAACCTGTTTTTTGCGCTAAATTTCTTTTCTATTACCTAAGAAAAAGCCAGATTTTGCACCGTAGTTCCTGCCTTTAACAAAAATACGTACGGCGATTTGCCTAGTTTTGTGGATTGCATTAGCTTAGAGAGCTCAAACCGAAATACTGCATTGCCAACTGTGATTCCAAGTGACTATACGGAAACACGCCCACAATTACACCTTTAGTACGTGCGACAGACAGTTTCCAAAACATCGCGTTTGTGTGACGACATACGACTAAAAATGTTGATTAATCTGCCAAATGCTATCATCTCCGTTTCCGTAAGCTATTTATAGCCTCAGTCACTTATTAAAGAAATCCTCCAATAATCGTTTTTGTCGTTAATGTATGCAGCAATTTACAAAACGTAGATCCCCCTACGAACCAAGAACGAACTAAGATAGTTTTCCCCTTCGTTTTACAACTTCAGTGATAAGAACAATATAAACGAAGACCGTGAGATACAAGGACAGCATTACTGTCAAAGTTTTGTTAGCACATGAGAGACTCACTGTCGACAGCCTGCTATCTCTAAAATCACTGTCAGCCTCGCCATTAGGTTTAACATCTAATCGTTTTCATGCTAGTTTTGCTATGACAGACGAACCCTTCGACGGCCGAAGAGTAACGCATCACGGACCACTCGGCGGGCAGAATAAGCCGATGTGGCAATACGTAACAACGAAGACGAACTCCACGACCGACTAGTTCATGCTAGCGAATAATTCCAACATACTAACAAAGCCGACTAAAGCAAACTGCTGTTTCCCCAGAGGGCACCGCAGACGACGTCCAGGCTGTTCAATGTTTTCCATTGATCATCTAACACCATTCCTCAGCAAAAATCGGCACGCGCCAAGGCATCGAACGTGACTGTGTTAGCTGTCAGTTATCGGCGGTAAGCCAGAAAATAAGTAAAGATATACTAAAGTTCAATACAGGTTTACCTACTGACTCAGCAAGTACGACCGGTTCTTACCTATAAAGATGCAACAGTGCCCTAAAAAGTCAAGTAAATATACACAATCAACTGAGATGGATGATGACTATTCTCAGACTTGTTTATATGCACTCCTGCACATGTGTATATGTGTGTGTGTGTGTGTGTGTGCGTGTGCGTGTGTTTTGTTCGAAGCCGGCGTCTACGTTTTAGTAGTGGTCCTAATCTCTCCTCATAATCCCACCATTAAGACATGGAAATGCCACGATGTGTCAAAATATCGCTGGAGAGCTTTCAAACGTGATAATTTCTGAAACGTAAATGTAGGCAAAGATGGAGAAAGATGGTACGATTCGCGGCTAAGGACTGGGACAAGGTCTGAAGGCGCAAGTGGTAGCCCCATCGTACCTACAATATAAAATTGTCAGGACTCTGCGTAGGTATGAAAATCCCAAAAATGGCACAGTTTTCATCTAGTTAGATGCAATGCGGTGGTATTACATTGGGCAAGGTTCAGATTGAACAGCCAAAAGCCATGCTGTAGCGATTAAGACTCAATGTCGCAACTATTCCTATTGAACAAGATAGGCAGACACGAGATAAACTTTAAATGATTGTTTTCATTAGGGTTGTTTTAGAAAACCGGAAAATTTATGAAGAGAAAATACGATGGGATTTCACAAATTAAATTGGCACCATCAGGAATATGGTAAGGAGCTAATATTAATAGGTAAAATATCAAAATGTGTCTTATTCGATATCCCTAACATTGGAAACATGCAAGAGAAAATATTTTTGCTTTAATCGATTGTTTTTCTAGATGGTTTCTAATTAAAGGTTATCGAACAACATACACTAGTCGATAACTGACAGACCTGTATTTAGCTGGGTATGCTGGTTTCGCGATGATTTATGAGTAATAATCCATCAATCTCTAGCATAAAATCTGAAACTCGAGGTCACACACTTCGTTCCAATTCGTGGTATTTGCCTGAGATGAACCCCATTAATTAATTAATTAATACCTCATGAAATTACGAGTAGTTACGAAGTTACCCAGAATGAGTTAGCGAGCAACCACTAAGCCTTTATAAACAGTTACACTCGATATACTTTATTATAGAGTATCAGTTCGAGAAATTAACCATGTCATGAACATGGGCGAAGTTCAGCGATGCGTATTCCTAAGTTTCTGGGCATAATAAGATCACCATCTCTTTATGGTACGCATAAAGTGATAAGTAGAAACAGTCAAACCCACATGACAAGTGATCGTTTGTATACTATAGTCGTTGCGTTCATTGGCACTACTTTTTGCAATTAGATTACGTTACAGTCTGTCTTCCACAGTGACATGAACAGTTAAGCTCATGGTGGAGAGAAACAAGAAACCATATACGCGGCCTACGTAAATAAACAAAATTATAGTCCAACCGTCTACAACCTTTAAAAATTAAATGTTCATCAATAACATGCGGAAAGCTAAGCATATAGCATGTAATCAAAGCTTCTCTTCAATTAGATCTTCGATAAAATAAAATTGCTAGAAAGTCTTACCTATTATTAACTTCATCTTGTCTAAAGTAAAATCGAATTTCAAAGTTGTATTGAGACAGATTTCCGATCTGCATGAATCATCCATCAAAAAAAGCGTTGAACTTAACTCTCGATGCTGGATGCGTACCCTCTGCCCGTACCCACTGTTTTACGGCGCCTTTCGCACTAATCCCTGGCATCTTTCTGTCAGCCACCAGATCCAATAGCTTTCCTCGTCTTCTTTCCCTGACATACGTTAGCGCTTCTGAATCGAACTCCGCTCTGCAGTGGCCTCATAGACTTTGCGGCGAAGTTGGACTCAGAAAGGTCTTGCCTGTCGTTCAGACCGGACCGAAAGCAAAGGGAGTTGCGTGCCCATCAACGACACTCTCATTAATATTAATGCTCTGTGTATGTGCGTATAGAGAGAGTTTCAAGGACATCCGAAACTTAGCTAGTGTCGTCATCTGCCTAAAAGAAGCATTGACCCTCAGGCTTGATCTTTCGTTCATCGAATCATCCACTGATCAAATAGGTTGAGAGAGTCGCCATCAACTGTAAGGGCAAATGAGAGGCTTTCAGCCATCTCAGCTACGCAGCGTCTGGTGGGCGGTGGAACGGAATGAGACAACTGTCAATAGAAAACGTTGTGTTCGTACCGGTTGCCGATTACATTGGTAAGTATTATAGGTACTAACACAATATAGAGAGAGAAGTTGGGATAAATTATTACCATGTAAAAAAAATGCGTATCTATGAATCAGTCGACGACTGTTAGTCGTCCTTAAAGATGGAAGCCGTTTTTAGAAACGAAGTCAACGTTTGCCCTGTCTATTACCTTGCCTGAAAACTTGAACTTTTTTGGGTTATCTAAATCTGATTCAATCAAAAATGGACTAATATATATATTAATTGCGGACTTCTCTTCGGCCATTCATCGAATTTAGCTGCTATTCATAGCTTCTCTATATCTATTCACTCAATTTACTACCCTACATCCGTAAAAGTCTGCTCCGGTAAAATATAGTTTGTCAGGCTCAGACCTTTCTAGTCGCTGATCTGGGCTCTTTCCTGCTGTTCCTTTCCCCTTTTGTATTCCGCACACACAACTAGGATGACGTGGTGAAAATGTTCAGCGAGCAACAATAGCGGCAACCGATTTTGGCTCACAAAAGCTCCTTGACTTCGCAGGTCGACTGTTGACAATTCCCAGATGTGGTTCAGAGTAGACGCGGACCCAAATCGCAGACGTCAGAGTCAGAGGCGCTTCGGCTAACCAACTAGCCTATAAGTAGTTGTGTGCCGCAGAAAACGTCTCCGTTTCATCGTCTGCGTGTCCCCTCCCTGTCATATCTTCGACGTTATAAAAGGTAGTTTCCCAAAAGCCCCTGCAACGTTCGTTCCGCCTCTGTTCCAAGATCATTTTCGAATGGCCACGATGAATTTGGTTGTAGCGGGTCACGGTGTGTCCCCCTATGCCATAACCGTAGTTTCTGCTACCTAACCAAAGAGCGGACTTCAAGATACGATAAAAAAGAAAAATAAAGATAAGAGAATTTAACTGAGTTGCAGCCTTAAGAACAGTAGCTAATATAAAAATAACAAAAACGAATATCCGTTGTTCTTTGCCAGTCTAAACTAAGCACTTTGTTGTGAATGTTAATCTTAAGTGAAGGAAAAATTTTTGTGCTCAGGCCAACGCTGATGGTCCCGACTGGAACAACCACGATTGCGCTTAGGACGACCGGCGCAGAAATAAGAATTGTGTCACGTTGTGGAGCATGCTTTCTGTGCGGCTATCTGAACTAGGACATTACTGGCGTGAGGAGAGAGTGGTGCAGATATCGTAGGGAATCTGGCAAAGCTTTACTCAGCAGCTAGTGAAATGGCGAGAGGCATCGAATTGAAAGACGTCGTGCGCAGGACCCTGCAACGACTATAATTCCTATACCGTCAATTCAATGTTCCGTAGCTACTTTGCATTAGGCGGTCACCGCCATCCTGACCCGCGATTTACAGCAGGCGAAGAGCATGGATCGCGTGTCAACGTTAAGGAATAAGCGAGGACAAGAGATCGTAAACAAAAGAAATTCTTCGCAATACATAGACCCTGGTTCCGACTGGGTGCCGTAAAGGCCAAAGGTAGTCGATGTTCCAAACCTAATTCGGCATTCGCACGCAGATCGCACGGGGCGTTCAACGAGCTTGCGTGTAGCGCCGACGCATTCGGCTGCGCCATTGCAGGACAACACACGCTAGTAATGTCAAATCAAACGGACTCTCGTAATCGAAAATGCTATTGACGCCGTTTAATTTCGTTTAGCGCTGTAGTTCCATGTAGAAATTGAATATGCATAGCGAGTTCTTTTATGTCGATCGTTATCAACACATAAGTGCGAGTAAGCACTCATAGAAAAATGACATTGAACCCTACGGGATTAAGGACTTCTGCTACTTTCCTCGTTAATCTGGGAGAACTTGAATCTGATATGATGGCGTAAACTTCAATAACATCTGCTTAGCAATGGAAAATGGCTTCTAATAATCAGAAAGAAGAAACAGCGTATTTGGACATGCAGAACCCTTTTTTAATGTTCACTCACGTTCTGGAGGTGACATGAACCTGCGTTTCAGTGAATTGCCTTATATATATGTATCTCAATTACTGACTTGATATGAAATCATAGAACAGAAAACGTGTTTTGTAACGTTAACCATCTCCGGTCCCTCGCTCTCGCGTTTGAGGCCTATATACTGTGCACGCGTGTACCTTAGATGGCCTACGATGTGCTTCACGAGTACTTTGGGAAAGTTACCATAGGTATTTGGGACACCTTCGTTGTTCTTAGGACGTTCCGTTTATATCAACAACTCCTATAATATTATCAAAAATGGCAGCAGCGCCAACAGTTGTCACCTTTACCTCGAAGTGGAATTTGTGTTTCTGCCTCAATTCTGACCTCTTGTATACTGACGTTCATTGATTCACACGGTTAATACGTCGAGTCGAATCCTATGGATCGCGTCGCTGCGTGCAGCAATGGCTGTGACATTACACAAAAATAGGACTGTTGTTTGGTAGAAACAGCAGCTTTCTCGAGTACAAACTTTGGAGATTAAAAGTCTCACTTCACTGAGACAAGTGAACACCAAAGCGAATAGTTTCAGCGGTGCAAGCACAGCCCCTTCCCCAGCCATTCGTGCGATGCTGGGTTGCTTTACCATCATCCCTGGTCCTTTGTGGCTGGGCGGGGAAAGCGAACCAGGTGCCCTGTGCAACCAGCGGCCTCGGGCACCTTCTTCTTTTAGGCCGTTCTGCAGTCTATGAGCAGGCCGTCTTGAAGCTCGCAACTCGGCCGTCGCTCACACGTTTGCTCGTACACAGACGACAACTACGGCCAGCCCAGTCTAGCTTAGCCTATACCGACCGATCGTCGAACTATCGTTAAACCAGCCAGTAGTAGTGGTCTTACCGTTTGCCTAGTTGTTCTGTACCATAGTGGTAACGATATAGAGACTGCGATAGGAACAGTAGTAGCGGCGGCATAATCGGATATTTTAGAAGTTGAACTTTCGCGAGCATCGCCACCGCTAACAGCCTCTACCGCCGCCGCCGCCGCCATCGATGTCGTTGCCACTGGATCAACTAATCTAATTCAACGACGAAAGCTATGAGGCTATATGCTGCCCAACGATAATAACACGATAGATAAAATGGCAAAACTATACATAAGCATTATGAGACGAAGTAAAGCTCATATATGTTTGTCGGCGCATGCACGATTCGTCCTCCTGCATGCTGACAATGAGTGGCGAGAATCCAGCAAACGTAAAAGCGTTACGGCGATGGTTGAAACTGAACGTCTGTTGTCCACACGGCGCACGTAGACGTGACAGCTGGAAGCAGTATTCTATTACTGAAAGCGATGCAGTAGAAACTTTTTTTGAGTTGATATGACCCAGACCGTTCGGTTATTTGGTTTGGCGAACGTATCGAGATACGTGAAATTTTTATTGGAAATATCAATAGTAATCATTTTTGTTGATCGAAACGAGAAGGAGGATTTGGCAACTCGTTATGGTAGTAAGAGGAATGAGTATCAAAGAAATAACATACTACACAGTACATTATAGGCATCCCGTTGGTAACAAAAAATGCATAGCTCGAAGAGGAGATCCAGGACTAGGTTTCTGGTAATGCCTTCGCTTTGAAGCGAAAGAGCGAAACATTACCAGAAACTTCAATTGAAATCGACTTAAGTGCTACAGCGGAACAAGTGTAAACGACAACTTTGCACTTTCGGATAATTTCTATTTGGATCAGATCCTGATACTGAGAGACAACACGCCGAATAAGGTTGTCTGATTAGTTTTAAGACACCGCCACTCTCGTGAGGGTCGCTGTTCGACCGCTAAACGCAATTTTTTCTTAAATTTTTGTTTTCTTCTTACTATCGCCGAAATCACGACGTCGACCTTAGATCGGCCGAACGGAGATAACTATCGAACTGCCGCATCCATTAATAATAATTAGCTTCAATTATATCGAATATGGGCAAGGCATATAGCTCCCGAACGCGTTCATTGCTCGCCGATCGAAGGGCTACCCGCTCGAGGCGTTTCTCAATAGTCACGTCTGCGGTAAAACGGTGCTATTTATTTTGTTATGAAAGCACTAAACAGAGGAAGTACGTGAGTCGCAGGTCGTCGATGGAAAAGCAGCAGTAACGCAGAGTTTTACAGAAAATCGCAGGATCTAAATAAAGATGAATTCTTAAGACAACCATATAGCAGGGAACATGAAACGGTTGACATATAACAATTGATTCTGGCTATCGCTGTAGTCGAGCGCTAGACAAAAACCAATTCATCCTATAACACCTGTCATATATAGTTAGCTAATTAAGTACACTTCTGCTGGTTACACGTCGCATTTACTTAAGGGCTTATTTTATTATTCGTTAAACTTTAGTAAGCCTTGTTAGATCCCTACGATAGCTTTCGGAGTAAAGTATTTGCCTGCTAAACTTAAAGACACTCTGTGGTCTAGATTCGAAATCCGGGCGTATACACACGATTCGCTGCGTGCTGGCAGGAGTCACTCATCTGTCCGATAAAATGCTTAACGGCGATACCAGACGTAAAATTCGAAATATAGCGATAATTTTCTTTTTTTTTATCCTATCACTGATGGTTACTGTTATTGACTTTCGGTTCTCTGCTGATTTATAGGCTAGTCTGGGTTTTTGTTAGACAAAGTCAACTGCCTTGCGGGTGTCAACAAAAGACACTTACTATGCCGCACTTACCGATGTGTTCACTCCGCTTTTACCGTTGACGTTCAAATCACTTAGCGCATATCGTCTTTATAGACGTGCATGAATGTGCACGACATTATCGATAACCTGGTTATATAGTCTGTAATAGTATAGTAGTTTCTTTGTAATAGGATAGTAAGTTGACCTAACTTTTCGCTTATGTTCGTATTCGTTTGTACGCCTCCATCAAACATCCATTGGACATTGCCAGGTTCTCCAAAACAGATAGCAAAAGCAAAGTTAAGAAGCCTAACGGACAACGCAAAAACAAATCTATGCCCTCCTTTCGTTACGACAAGGTAACTCCATCAGGCGAGTAAGAACCCGTGGGCAAGCCGACATTGTTAACGATAGCAACAACCTAACTATTAGTTGCGAAAATTAAACGTACAGTAACGATTACGATAATGACATCGGGTAGAGCTTACATCTTAAGTCGCTTTTTTTTTTTGCTTTTCGCGCCTATGCTTTTCTCCTTCTTCTTGTTCTCCTTACGATTTTCCTCCTCATTCCCTTTTGCCTTTTCCGCTCCCGCAGGTTTACTTCGTTTTCTTTCCTTCTGCCTCGTCTGCTGTCTCTCATTTTATTTCTGCTCTTTCCTCCGGATGCTGCTGCCATTGCTGACTGCTCTCGTTGTTATAACCTGGTTTGAGCTCTGACGGCGTTGGCAACGAGGTGTGGTGACTCTTATTTGTCGCCGGTGCCCAGGCAAGCTGTAAGCATAGCAATGCATTGGTCCTATATGGGAGGCGTGGCACGTACGTACACAGAGGATAGTACATGGACAAAGCTACAGTAACTGAAGCAGCTTATACCTAGAGAGCCTGCAATTGCTCTTGTTTGCTTAGTACGTGTGCCGCTTTACATTATACTTGATATAGCGTAAGAAATATAGTAGCATTAGTGCAGCTACGTGAAGACTCTATATATATATACGACAAATGTATATACTGTGCCTTGAATACTGGCCCTATACCCCATGGCATTTATCTTCATAAAAACCTGTTTCCGGCGCATACAAGCACGTTCTCCTCGAATTTGTTGAGATATGCTAGATAGATAAGTGTACATGCTGGCTGCTGGGAAAAAATGACAAAGCTAACAAGTGAGCCACTAATAGACAGTACATAATCAGGCGCATAAGCTTGGGGGGTGTGGAAGAATTGGGGTAGAAGCCGGAACTCAAAGGGCAC